ATCAAAAACATCGATTACCATATCACCCAATACCTCTTACTGGACAAAATGTTTCTAATAATACTGGACAAAATGCAACAGACAATTTTACAGAAAATGCACAGCAACAGACTATTAACAACTTTCAATCATTTAAAGCGAATAATGCAACAAGTATATCACCACAACAATCTGGCATTAATGGAAACAGTTTTCATCATATAACTCAAGAATTAAACAGAAATTTAATGAAGAATAACATACAACATAAAGAAGTTTCGGAAAATATTACATCATCACCCATTTATCCACATAGTATTCCTTTGGAGAATGAGATGCAGTTGCTACACAATTTACAACCATGTTGTCAACCTGTATCAAATGTTGAAAATGCAAATTCATTAGTGCAAGAATCATATCACATACAAGAATTGGGAAATACCGTATCAATTGAACCACTTCAAAAAGTTATACCATCACATCAAATACAATTGGAAAATAATGCACCAATAGCAAGAGAAAAAAATGAAATATCGCAAGTAATTGAAATACTTCGCGACTTACAGCATAAAATGCAGTACGTATATATTTTCTTATTTTAACTAAAATTGAAAATAGATAATAACTCTGTTTTGAATAATATATATTTACTTTCTCTCTAAAAGTTTTTAATAAATAGTTCATAAAAATTTTTAAACGTTACAAGTTTGCTTCTGAGCAAAAATTTGTAAAATATATTTGAAACAATATGACTAAATAAGTAATGAAATATTCTTTTTTATTCTGAATGATTCTAAATAAAGGAATGCAAGAATAACTAACATATTTTGAACATTATTATCGTTTTGATATCATTGATTGGTTTCAGAATATATGCTTCTAATTATACTTTATTAATATGTTTACTACGTTATATATATAATTTTTTTTAAACATTTCTCAATTTGAAACTTCTTATAATCTATAATATTTTTGATTTTTGTTCTCAGAAAAACATATACTTGTTTCATTCAATCTATTTAAAAGTTTTGATGAATATGAAATATTAATCACACATTAAAACAATTAGATGGACTATTACCGTTAAATATTTATCTTAGTATTTTCACACACATTGTTTATTAATATTACTAATTATAATCAATTAATTTCAGAAGAACAAATGAACGATTGAATACAATAGAGCGAAAAATCGATTGCAACGTTATTAATACAATTCCTACAAAGCCGCGAATTCTTCCATTTTCGACAATAGAAGCAATACAAATGTTTACAAAGGATAACGCCGTTTATGAAGAAGTTGTAAATATTAAATTAATTCATATTTAATATACACATAAGAAATTGCTTTATAGATGTATATTTCAATTTATATTATGTAATAATTTGTATATCTTCAGAATTTGTTTTATACCTCGACAGTTTTGAAATCGTTAAATCTTGTTAGAATCAGTCTTAAATTAATATTGTATTTATTTATTTTAATGTTTATTTTCTAAATGACTATCATCGTATTCGAAGATAACTTTATTACAGATCGAAACGTTTGCGGAATTATTCTTTTACACATATACATAATTCAGAATATTAAATAGCATGTAACTAACTTATCTCTTTATTGATTAACCTTTTTTACTTTTATTGCAATAATTTGTATGTTTATAGGTACAGTACTTTAAATTTTTAAACTGCATAACATTAAAAGATAGCGTGCATCAATGTATAAAAGAAGCTTTAACGATGCAAGTAGCCGGACAAATGACATGGTGGGGAATTAATGATATTAAATTCCCATTCGATAATACAATTTTATGTCAAGCGATTTACCGTATGTATATTTGTGTATATTTGTTAGTCCACTGTGTGTACAATATTGATTATAATATTGATTATTTTTCAGAAGCCGTAGCGTCAAATAGGTATTATCCTAAACCAACCAGAGAAGAATTCCAAAAAAATATCGTCGCATCCTTGAAAATTGCCAAACAACGATTCCGGAATGCCAGAGGTAGACATCCAGGTATACAAGGAAATCGGAGAAATTTGCAGGCAACTGCAGATGCATTATATAATGATGATAACGACGGGGATAATAGAAATTCAGAAAATGATGATAACGACAGGGATAATAGAAATTCAGAAAATGAACATAACGTTACAGACGTAGAAAATGATAGCGATGAAAATGAGCACTCATCAAATGATTCATAAAGTTATCTTTATCTTAAAGTTATCTTTTCGGTTTTTTTTATGTTGTTAACGTGCATTCTTATTTTCGGTTTCTTTTATGTTGTTAACGTGCATTCTTATTTTCATAAATATATTTTATATAAAAAATGCGTAGATACAAATATTCATTTATATAGTGTTGGATTGGCCAATAAGTGTGTTGTTTTTTTTGTAAAGTGTTTGGAAAGTCTAATTTAATTTTGTAAGGACACTTATTATTTAATTGGGTAGCAATAAAATATATAATAGCTATAAAAATTTTATTTTCCCAGAATATGGGCAATCATTAATAAAGAAAATTCTAAAAGAATGTTGAAAAGATACTTTTTAAATAAACTTTTGAATCCAATTATATAATTATGGTTAATTATTGTGAAGCATGACCTTGATAGCCTACCAAAATCTTACCAGGATATTGATTGTGTCATGCAACATAATAAAAATTACAAAAATGAGCAAATTTATGCATCTGTATGCAATGAATGCATCTGTAATCTAGGAGTCGATTTTGTATTCTGTATTCATGCAATGTAGTAAAAATTACAAAAAGTAAGCAATTTTATTACTTATTAAACAATAAGATTATATACTTTTTAGTAAATTTTTTTTATTTCTGTAATTTTCACTACATTTCATGATACAGAATTGACTCTCAAATCACAGATACATTAATAAATTTGCTCATTTTAGTAATTTTCACTATATATATTGCATGATACACAATCAATGTCTCAGATGAGTCTTTTTTAACGGCAACGGTTTCCTTCAAATTATCGTCAGATTATTAGCAACTAATGGAATTAAGATTTTAGGTGGAAACTATTTCCGTCATGTTGCCATATGATTTCCAACAATCTATTATATGACTGATTCGTAAGAAGGCAACTGTTGCCATCAAGTTGCTTGTAACTGTTCCTAGCAATAAAAATCGACAATCCAATAGACAAAATCGGAAGCCGCTTTCCTCAATATTGAAGGCAACTTTAATAAAGCAATTTCAAGCAAATTAATAGCAACTTGCGGGCAACTTGCTATCTGGGGTATATACATTAAAAGTAATCTAATAAAAATTACAACTCATAATATAAATATTATTCAGGATTTAAAAAAATATAAAAAACCATAACTCTTTAATTGAAATTTATTGTTAATTAAGAAATGCTTCAATAATTACAATAGGTATAAAGCTATAGTTAGTTATCACAAACTTTTTAACATTGTGTATTACAATTTTTACTAAAATGTAACCCAGGTTGATACATAAATATGTGTATGATTGCACATAACATAACAATACATAAACTTATGTAAGAAAATTAAACTGGAAACTTCAAAAAAAATAATAAAATTTTTTACATTGCATATAGTACAGTAGTTTGTTATACAGTAGTTTGTTATATTATAATACTATTATACTATAATAAATGTAACACATATAAAATTAAAAATAAAAATAATAATACATAAGTAAATATCATTGTATCACAGTTTTTACTAAAATTTAATCCAGGTTAATACACAATTATGTGCATGACTGTATATACCAATACATAAACTTATGTAAGAAAATTAAATTGGAAACTTCAAACACAAAAATAATTAAATTTTCATTAAATTTTCATACAGTACAGTAGTTTCTTATACGTATAATTAATGTAACGTATATAAAAATAAAAATAAAAAAACATGATACATAAGGAAATATTATTCTACAAATTCTTCAATTATTTGAAGAATTTTAACCAAACACAATCTTCTTTTCGTTTTTGGCACATCTTGCATTACGTAAGCAATTGTCACTGATAGTGATGTAAGTTCATTATCTTGAGGAAGTGATGACGTTTTAGTTCTTCGGCTTGAGACTACTGTCTCAACAGTAGAAGCCATTCTGTCCATCATTTTTGCAGTCTCTCCAAGGAAACCATCCATGGCATTCTTCTTTCGTTTAAAGGAAATGTCACTTGGAGGTATGACAACTTTGGTATTCGCTTTGTGTTTGAATTTACTGGCAACAGATGTGCCAGAAAATCCTGATTCTGATTCTGATGTATTTTTGGAATTCATCGCCTTGATAGATGGAAAAAAAATGGCACGACTTGCTTTAAATTCTTTTGTAAAATTTTATTTACAGGCGTTGGCGAAGATGTTGGAGACAAAGTAGGTGATGGAGATTTTGTGGACATTGACGGTAGAGAGCAGCTGTCATCATTATCTGCAAAACGAGACATATTAAAATGATATTTCCCAATCTGGGAATCAGTCATGTACTTTTTTTCGAGGAGCGGAAATGCGAAAGTAAAAAGTTTTATGTTAATTTGACGAATAAAATTGTTGAATTCACGTGAAAGCTTTCATTTATTCATTTTATTCTTAGGAAAAAATTACATGACTGATGCCCTAGAATATATTGGACATACCCAATGACACCTGAGACTTACCTACAATACTTATGGAATCTGTAAGATCTAGGTTCCAAGTCGAATTAGTTGGAAGAGTAATGATTGATGCAGACTCTTCAGCTACAGCTGATGGTGAAGTGGATGAGGGTATTTGAATGGAGATAGGAGCCTTCATGTTCGAACAAATCCTGCATATTAAAATGCATGAGAAAGTTAGATACGTTGATTAAGTTTTGTGCTGTACATAAGAAAAGATGTTCATTGTTTCAACTTACATTCGAGGCTTGTAATGAGGAATAAGAAAGCTCATGTCCACGTAATAAGCAAAATCTATCCCATTGCTCTCATCTGGACCCTCCATTGCACCAGAACCAGATGGAATATACTCCATTCGTTTGCGATGGGCTCGCACAAACATTGTACGTAAGTTGTCCCAACGTTTCTGTACAGCTTCGCCTATAATATTAAGTAAATTGGCTATTAGTTTATGCTAGAAAACATGAGCAAAATAAAGCAATTCAAATTACTAGAGATAATTAAAATTGTGCATAATTAAAATTGTGCCTATAATATTAAGTAAATTGGCTAT